AGGAGGGAAGGAGAGGGGGGAAAGAGAAAACACATGGGATTATCAGGAACTCTGGCTGAGTTTAGCTTTTTTTTATACCAAGTGGAAATGACACGGGGTTACTAAATCATTATTCCTTCAGGTGGATATGCAAAGGAGGTCTGAGTCTGCTGTCATCTTAGGTGGATGCAACACAACAGACCCGAGTCACTGCTCCCATTAGGAGGAGCCTGGGTCCTCTATTCCCTTGGATAGGCCTTGATTCTCTAGTGTGAGTTTCCTGATACGCCCAATCTGTTCCCAGGCTTAGTAGCACAGAAGTCTCCTTTTCATGCTATGTGATCTCTATGTTAATCTGACTATTCATATCCAGGACTGTGGCAAAGATAACACAACTCTCTCACTGACTGGGACTTTCAAAAGATCTCAGGGAACACATTATAATAGGATTTCTGTCAAAGATGCTTTTCTCTCTACTTCCAAGGCACACTGCTCACCCTTCTCTGTTTTAGTGCCCCTGTGTAACTCTGCTGACCCATCCCCATTCTCAGTCAGTAGCTCCTTCCTGTGTTCTCCCTCCCTTTACAGGATGTACTTAGAACCTTCTGATACCAATGCCTCTTATCAGTTCTTCATTTATTATTCTTACTTTAATTACACAATTGCATGCTCCATGGGAGACTCTGGGGCATTGCAATTAAAAGATTCAGGTAAATAGTGATATTTGATGAATATTAATTTTACATATTTTCAAAGCTGTGTTATAAGACCAACCATGTTGGACAAGCCAAGCCTCTGCATTACATAGAAAGTAACCTGTTTAATATTAGCATTTTTAACCAATGTCTATTCAGCTATTTAATATAATATGAAAATAATTGTCTGAGAGCAAACAAAACTCTATCGCTCTTTATATACGTGAACTAATTCCTAGGTATAAACAGAAATACCTAAGTTGATTGAATATTAACAAATGGAACATTTGAAGAAAGACATTATTCTGTCTGGCAAGTGCCAGTTTGTATGCATAGTCCATCAGATGTTCTGTCTAGGAAAGATGACAGCAGCAATGTAGTATGGCCAGGAGGATTTAACACAGTACAGGTTGTTAGGAACCAACGAGAATGCTGAATTGACAACTATTCAACTGAGACAATATATCAGCATGGCACAAAACCTTCCCATTCAAAAACATAGCTTGCCAACAAGTGCAATAAAAGGCAAGCCTCCTTATCCCTTTCCTGAACAAATCAGAATACACTGTTCTCATATATTTAAGGGCTCTTTGTACACTCACTCCTAGGAGAATCACCAAAATGAAATCTAATAAAACCAGGAGAAGTTGTAAAACACACAGAAAAGTGTACTGAGAAATTCTCGCAATATTTTCATGTATAATGTATATTTTGCTATTACTTTTCTAGCCTATAAGTAGAAACTTCATATATAAGGGAAATTTTCTTGAGAGAAAATAAGTTAAAATAGTTCATATAGATAATACTGAGTCAAACATATATATGCATATATATATGTTTGTGAGTGTGTGTGTATGTGTATCCAAATATATATATTTGGACTTGGTCAAAAATGTAAGTGACCTCACACCTCAATAAATTTTAATAGTCAAATGAAAACCATTAATAATATATACATTGATCATAACAACTTAATATTTGATGGGATATCTGGTCATTTTATATTTCAAAAGTGAAAAAAATCCTAAAAATTCAATTCTAATAATCACATTCTGTAAAAAAACTACACTGTAGTAGATCTCTTTACTCAAAATTCTAATCCTAAAAGGTAGATTTTGTGAGTATTCTGAGTGAGACCAATACATTATTTGAAATGAAAATCATGTTTGAAGTCAATCATATTTATTCAAAATAACAACTTTTATAAAACATAGCAAGAACGTAAAATTTTTCTAGAAAGTATTAAATTAATGAAATCCTAAATTTCCTCACCGATAATACGGTTGAATTTAGCTATTTACTCTCAAATAGCTTAATCAAATCTTTATTTGCAGTAGCTCTCAGGCTTCAAAATATTTACAGGCAGTGTATGTGTTATATGGAGGCCACTACATGTGGGTGATGCAATCAGAGAGAACTCAACAATTGATACGGTCTCATAGGGAAGCGTGTTGCTTCTTGACTCTACCCATCTGTCTACTATTAAGTTTGTAAATTGCAGTTGACACTTAAGAAATTATTTGGTTTCAGGAGTCTTGATAAAATTGCTTCATGAAAGAGTTTATTTTAAAAACCTTTAAATTTGTCTATCATGGCCTTTGTTTTTTTAACATATTTTATTTTGTGCTCCTATGGATTCCTTTCTTAGGCAGCATATGTAGCGAAAGCCATGTCCTCAGTGCTAATGGGGACTTGGCCTTTTGTAGTCTAACATTCACCCATGAGACACATGATCACAATTGGTCCATAAAGAGCAAATGGTGGTTGATATTGAAAGCTCCAAAAACCAGTAGAGAAGCATAGGAACTAATGATGATGTACAAGGTCTCTATAAAATTCTTTCCTTCCTAAGAAGCTTGAGAAAATTATGAATAGATGTTTTATATACATATATAGGTGTGTGTTTAAAGTTCTAACATAAAATAATTTTATATTATGAAGAAAGTGTAAAGATAGCAATTCATATGCCCATGAAAGTTAAATTATTTACAAATAAATATTGCAGTTGATAGGTGACACTTCCTGTTCCTGAAGTGTGGACTAGTCGCATGTGTCCTAGTCATTATGCAACTCATCTTTATAAAAACCTCTTACTTTTAATTTAGTTACAATGTTTCCTCAAGTTTTATATAGAAAGCACACTGCAGTTCATGCATGTAGCTAAATATAGTTACTTCCCTAAATTTCTGTGCATTTAGTCATCCATTTGCTGGTTTTTTGGATTATGTTATACATAAATGACTAGGAAATGCTAAGCATATCAACATGACCTGAGTATTGTCCTACGTTAACAGCTCTCCAAACTATAAGAAGTGCTTGTATGAGGGGATGCGTTAGGTATCACTACCAAGGAGATATTCTTACTTGGCCTCAGGTCACGGACTGATTTGCCTTCATCACATGAAGACAAGCTAAGAATCATGAGGACTTTAAGAGAACTATCGTGTTCCTTACTCCTTTTTAAATTTTCTATTTACATATTTATAAAGTCAAGTATTACTATGTATTCTGCAAAAAATAAAAGAATATAATGAGCCACAGAGAAGGACATTCGAAAGAGGGGGCAGAATGCTGAGGTCTTAAGTGTAAATGTTTACAGCTTAGTTATTTCCAACAGGCAGTATTCACCCCTCAGACACCAGTTCTCACCATCATTCACAGTGGGACCTAAAACTTAACACTGTTGCAAAGTAGTCTTATATTATTTGTCTATTGAGTCACTGAGCCAGTTTGAATGCAGGTACCCAAATATTAATTCCCAAATCAAGCTCAAATGCATATGGGTCCTCCTTGTCTTTGTATTAACAATGCATTACTTTTCCCAATAATCCAGGCACCTCACAAATTCCATGATTAAAAAGAGAAATGGTTTCACCATCCCAGAATTCAGATAACTCAGTTAAGAACTGAGAGCTTTGAAGTAGCTGGATCCTAAACTAGCCTGCAATGTACATGTGCTATGATGTATATTGCAATACAGTTTGATGGGGATTGCACTTTTATAATTCTTTTTGAAACTTTTCTGACCTCCTGATTTAGAAATACACAGATAATTATCTATAATACATGTTGGGATTACACCCTAAGAACTGATACATATGTATATATTTACAATTGTTTTGTCGGGAGCAGGGGAGGAGTCCCTCAAAAGAGGTAAACAATGGGTTACTTGCTGTAAACTATCTTAAAATTATAAAAGTAACAATTTTTTAAACATAAAGATAACAGCATATACATAACATATAAAACTAGAAACCAGGCTAGAAACATTGCTGTAATGATGTTAGTATCTGTAGAATATTTATACATCTAGTAAAAACATTAAAATGAATATTATAGAACCCCTCCCCCCAGAAAAACAGAGATTTTAGTATCTTTAAACTGAAATTAAATTTTAAAAACAATTTGTACTAGAACTCAAAACTGTTTTATTTTGTGAAGGAGACATGTAGTACCTTAATAATTGATGTAGTTTTATGGGAATACAAGAGTGACTTCTACATTTATGTTATCTGATTGAAATATGAATATAAGCATATGTTCAAAAAGCTCAAGACCGAATGTGTGTGGTTTCTTGTCAATGAAGTAGTGACAGCTTCTCATCAGCATTTCTAAGTGTCTTCCTTTAGATGGCAATGAGCAAGAGAATTCCTTTTTATTCCTTTTTTTGTAGAGAGGAGTAGAAAGCAATTCAGCAAGAATACAAATTTTAGAGCTATGCTAAAGAAAAAGACTGTTATTTAGATCAGCTTTACAAAATCATATAGGATTTCTGGAGGAATATCAGGCTACACCACATTTTACAATCCTATCAGCAAGTATTTTACATGAAGAAAAAATACTAACTTTTAATTAAATTACTTGCATTGCCTACACTAAAGCCCAAAAGCTAAAACATTATTGTAAAACTATTTGTGAAGTTGGAGGTTTTCTTTTGCATGCCTGCATATAAAAATGTTTGGCCTTAGGTTATTGCAAACCTAATAACTTTATTAAATTGTGAATAAATAAATTAGAATTTTCTTAAAAACAAATTATCCTTGTACTCTTATGAATGTTTTCATGTGCCTTAAAATTCACTAGCTCAGAAAAGCATGTTAGAGATGTTGATTTAAAAACATTAATATGATTCTGGTAGGCCGCTTGGTGCCTGGAATTATCTTTTTCAGTTCAACAAGGTGTTTGGGGATTGTTTGAGAACAAATGTTGAATAGAGCACAGCTCAAGTGTATTCAGTCAACGCGGGACACCACAGCAGAGGTAAATAAGCCGTGGAAGTCTGAAGACGAATAAGGAAGATAAAAATGGTTTCATATAGCTACTTACATCACAGCTCAGAAGTTCAGTCTGTGTGGATTTATCTACTCGTGAAGCAAAAGCCTTCTGTAAATGCTGTACTTTTTCCTGCAAAGTGAAAAAAAGAAAATCACAATGATGATAAGTTATGTGCTTCTATGCTAATATTTCTTGCTTACTAAAATTTGATTAATCTCAAATTCATGAATCAGTGTGTGCATATGTGTGTGTGTGTTTGCACTCAATTATGATGTTTTTTTAATTAGTGTAAATATTTGCAGCTTAGTTTTCCCATCAAAACCATCCCACTGGACTCTCTTTCCTTCTAGTATAAGAGTGACTGTGTCATTTATGGATGAGTGATGCCCTTTGTTTTAGGCAGTTGAACACAACTGTCAAAGTTGTCTTGTAATTCTGCAAGCATACACAAGTTTGTAGGTTGGATGGAGACGCTTTTGACACCTCAGCGAAGAAAAGAAAGCTGAATTATTTGGGGACCAACTTTATGTAGAAATAAGTATAACATGGTGCTTTGGGGGGCAATAGTATTTATAAATAACTGAAGTCAAAGAGATTGCTGCAATAGTAGGCCTAACTAGCTACAAGTTCAAAAACTGCTTAAGAAGAGTCAGGAAAGAAAGAACTGGAGAATGAAGCCAGTGGATCCAAGGCAGTCCAGAAAGTGCAGATGTGTCAAATGATGAGACCAGAGTGCAAGGCCAGACCAGACAGGACAGAACCCTGCACAAATGACTGCAAAGTAGCTTCCTTCTTGAAGTGCTATTCTGTAACTGAAAGATCAGGAATCTATTTGAGATAAATGCCAATACAGATGTCAACTTGTCTGTGGCCTTATATGAGGCATAAGAAGAAACAGGGGCATCTGGCAATAAGCTAAAGCAAAGTTCTTAGCCACCTGTGCTTTTTAATGGCCCCCTAATCCCCTCAGGGCAAGCAAACACAGGGTCTCCAACCCCTCTGGGGGATAGTGGAAGGTTAAATTGATTCAATTTCTCACAGGCACTTTTACAAGTAAATCTGTTAGTGTGCTTATATAATTAACTTTAGCTTTTCCTTTCCAAGCAGTTAGCAATTTGATATTTCTTTTAATTAAAACACATAGGGTAGCTTTTCTCCCATTTAAAATTAATAAAAAATATGTGTGCATAAAGTATAGAAACAAAGCAGATTTTGTAGAGAGTCGAGATGAAAAAGTTGTCTCCTGATTTATATTTGCTGATGCTTGTGGTACCAAATGTGTGTTGATTTGGGGTGCTGGGTGCTACTGCTTGAGTACAATTATTTTTTTTTCTGTCCAAACCTCCTGTAGGTTAGAGATAACATGACACTGTTTATATAACAAAAGACACCTTTTATCATAATAAATAAATGTATATAAGTCAAAAATACAGTATTTGAACTTATGGGGAGTATTTAATGACATTTACATTTTCTTTCTACTGTAATCTTTACCATTGTAATTATAACTCCTTACAGCAGATGCAAATAATGTGGTATAGGCTAGATGTCAGGCACTGAAGCAAGTAATATGCACAATTTATGCATGCGATGGTCATTTCAAAATATCAGTGTCACTTAAGTACATGAAATAGAAACTGCGTTAAAGACCACCCAAGACAGTAAGTAGAACTTAAAATTAAAACCTTCCTGTCTTCAACCTTAGTGTTCTTATATATAAAGATTTTCCATCTCTGAAAAGCTATAAAGGAATGTTTATTTCTATGGCATATATGCAAGAAGACATACCAAATATATAATTTCTGTAGTCATTTACAATCAGTTATTGCAAGATGGTAACAAAATATTCTTGATGTCCACGTGTTTATATTTATTTTCAGACTTTACACCGTTATATTTTTCCAGGGAAGGAACTACAGATTGCTTCAGACATACCAATGCATTGCCTATGAAGTTTACAAATTCATAGAATACCTACTGCCATATATATTATCCGTAATGCATTTTACAGCAGGACTCAGGAGTGGAGGGATAAGGGTTTTTTCATCTAAAATATTTTAATGATTTAAAAATTAATATACAAGGTATTAGATACCATTATGACATTTCACAGGAAGCATATTTTAATGAATTCTCCTTCCCCTCACTTTTCCCACTTTGCTACTCCCTGATTTTCTCCCCACGACCCCTCGACCACCACCACTCTAGTTTCCTTTCCTCGTGAAGGGATTAATGTTGAGTTATAACACAAATTTAGAAGGAGAACAATGTGGCAACACAAACATGTGAAAGCCAAATTTTGAGAAGGCATGAAGTTCCTTTAATGCACATGACAGTTAATCAGAGCAGAATATTCTAAAAACATTCTATGTATCTTATATATTCAGAGCACATGTGGGGGGGCAGGTGTGTGCATGATAAAAGAGACATTCGTGGACTCCACATACACAACACATTCTATCCACACACAAATGCTAACTTCACTGACTGGCATCATCCCCACACTCCCTCTCCTAGGTTAGATTCCCAACATTCACATGACAGTTCATGATCATCAAAAATTCTAATGCCAAGGGATCCATCACCCTCTTCTGACCCCTGCAGGCACCAGCAATGCAAGGGGTGCACAGACATATGTACAGGCAAAACACTCATACACACAAAATAGATAAATTTAAAAAACTTAAAACAGTTATTTAAAATATAGTGGTCTTTCTACACAAAAATAGAAAACACACTAGTAAAGGGATCTTGGAAACACACACACTCTCTCAAAACAAAGAAACAGAGAAACTGGAGAATAAAACTAATCAAGGTAATAACTGTGGAAACCCTCGAATGAAAAATGTAAAACCCTGAAGACAGAGAATGTGGAAGACACTAGAAAATGGAAAAATCGCTTATGCTTATGAATTAGTAGAACTCACACAGTAAAAATGAACATCCTACCAAAGGCACAATTTACAGATTCAATGCAAACCCAATTCAATCAAAACGCACACTACATTTTTCTCAGAGGTAGTAAAAATAAATCCTAAAATTTATATAAAATCAAACACATCCCTCCCCACACACTTCAGATATCCTAAGTAAAAATAATAATGCTGGAGTGATTACTATAATAGATTTCAAGCTGAACACGGTCGTGGTACACTTTTTCATTTGCCCATGTACTAATTACATCACATGTCACTGAAGCAGCATTACAAAAGGCAAGTGTCACAGGATGAAATGCTAGAAAGAGCTATGAAAAAGACAGTAAAAGCTTTTCTTTAATGAAACTTTAGAAAATGAAGCCAGACCTGACTCCCCCCTTGTATACAACCCAACTCAAAATGCACCAAGCACTTGGTACTGGAGAGACAGCTTAGCAGTTAAGAGCACTGGTTGTTCTTCAAGAGAACCAAGCTTTCATTTCCAGTGGGTCACAGCCACTTTTAACTCTAAATCCCATGGAATTCTAGGCCCTTTTCTAGCCTTTGCAGGCACCAGACACACAAGTGGTAAACAGACATACATGCAGGCAAAATACTCATATACATAAGATAAAATATAAATAATTTTAAATATTTCTAAAAAGTTAAATGTCAGACCTGAAACTATCAAATGAAGAGAAGAAAACAGAAGGTGCTTCAAGACACTGGAATGAACCATGATGATTTGCATAAGACCTTCAGTGGACAGAAAAGCTATCATAGACAAAGAGGAGTGCATCAACTGTGAAGGTTTATACAGCAACCATGGTGGGATGCTATAGGAGATACAGATAGTAGTCACTGCACACAGAGCTGTGTAACTGGAGGTTAAAGACCAAAACAACAAAAATCCTTGTTATCCCTGATTTACAGAAGAGAGTTTGGCAAAGAATAGGTTTAAACTAGGAGAACTGCTTTCTAAAACCTTTAAAAGAACACAGTCTTTTTTAAAATAGTATGAGCCTGACATCACGAATCCAGAGGTAATAATAATGGAAATGAAATACTGTTAATAATTAAGTTAGCACAAAAGCTAACTTTTCGAATGAAAAAGTAAGGTAATTCATTATGAGAAAATCCAGGTGACATGGTGGATCAAGTTTAATCTATGAATTAAGTGGGTCAATGCAATTTTGACATCATCATATATTGGATTTTGATGTCAGCAATAAGAATCATTTTCATAACACAACAGCAAAACCAAGACACAAAATCACTGGGATTGCTTAACAATGCCAGAGCCAGGGATGAGCACAGGGGGGCAAAGTCAACTTGCAGAGCTCCCATTGATTATTCTTAGCACCCCTTTAGTGAGCATGCATCACTGCAAACATGAGCTGAATTAGAAGTTCAGCAGCCAAGTAAACAAACTTCCTTAAGCTTTCTGGGAACTGCCAATGACATAGGACAACTTTTTTAGTGAAATCCCATCATCAAATGGCAACTTCCTTGATGCTCAAATCTAGTCATGCTGTTTTTCAGGATACATGAGCAGAACTTGAGAGCTGACCTACAGGACCTAGTGAAACTGGAGGTCTGTGAGGAGCAGACCCTAACAAATGAGAGCAGACCGGCATCAGCAGACTACTATTGTCAACGACTGCGACTCAAGCTACATCATCACAGGCTAGAAATTCCTGCATGCCTTTGGAGTGTGATTGCCTGCCAGGTACATGATTGTCACCGTGATCTTCAACTATGAGTCAACTAAGGAGTGGGTGGTTGAGTGCTGGAAGATACAGAGTTGGTGGACTGATTTGAGTTGTTCACACACACATGCTCAGACTCTGAAGATAAAGATCTAGTGTGTACTAGATTGGGCTGGACCCTAGCCTGACCCTCTCCATATTATTAACTTCCTGGACAGAATGATATGGAGTAATAAATACATACTTTTAAAACTGCAATTTGAATGTGGGTTTTCAAATCATGAGCAAAGTGCAGCTGGTAAGATAGGATATAGCATCACTGATTCACCAGTTTTTAAAAGGCCCGATTTATGAACCCAATAATTAGGATTCTGTTCTGTGAGTGCCACTCACAATGCTGGGCTGGAATTCACACATGCTTGCAGCAGAAATGCCTTCAATTTTTGGTTTGCTTCACCAGAAAAGTCGTGTGGGGAGTTAACAGGTTCAGAAAGAGGCAGGGATA